GGCCTCAATTTCAAATATAGCTAAATGAAAAGAAAAAATTTTCGGCGTTTGTAGGTATCAAACATATCGTCAGGAAAATAGGGGCTCGCAATGTTTTAGCTGAGTCTTTGAGACCCAGTTGCTTCGCACGTGTTGTGGTCAAATTTTTGCCAAGAATCAAAGGCCGAAATGTGAACTTCCTTCATGAAAACCGCTTCGAGAAGGGTCTAGTTTGAAAATTTAGCTATTAATTTCGATTTCATGAGCATATTTTGGTTACACGTTAAATATTTTTGTACTTGATGAGATTCAAAATTTGTTGTATATTCAAGCCCGGCTTTAGTGTAATTTTGGTGATGACCGGAACAGAACTAAAGATATTTTAAAAACTGGCCGTGGCCTCACGATAAAACTTTCTAAAAATGTTCTCTGTTTCATGCATTTTTATTTGATATCTTATGTATAAGCGTAAAAATAGGGGCTCATACAATTTACGAGGTTGTAAAATGCATGACTTGCCTCAATTTTCATGTAAACATTCGAAATTTTTCGACAGCAAAGTAGCAACTGTTTCAGATCGAATGCACACGGACAGCCCACCAGAGACAATGGCAGGGTACTGAAATAGAACGTCACTAAACAATTCTGTATGATTAATTTAGATTATGTCCATTTTCAACATAAAACAGTCATTTATTTTGTACAAACATTTGGCAATATTTACACGACTGTGCCTTTTTGTAAACACGCGTTGCGTGCATTCCACGCAATTGCGTGGCTCATTTTGCTCGCGCATGCTCAGACAAATTTCCCACCTGTTTTGTACAACATATATTGTGTTCATGTTAATAAACTAACAAAGAAGATACTTTCGCGTACACATGTACATACTGATACTGGTTCAGGCCTTAAAATATCGGTCGGTCACGGACATTGTCCGACCCATTTGTGAAATTGTCCGACGTAGAGAGGAAACTACCGGACATTCTGTCCGACCAAAGTGAAACTGAGGTTTATTGTTTGTCCGACCCGAGTGTATTTGTGCCGACCAAACTGCAGCTTTGTCCATCGTAAATCACAATGTACCCTAGCCCAGGACTAGAGGCTTGTATGTTAAATTGAAAATCAGAGTACTATTGTATAAAAGGTGAACTGGAAATGTTGTTTTAACGTAGTCGAGCGCGGGGCGGCGAGCGAAATGGTGAAGTGGAAAACGGGCTTAAGTTGTCGAAGTCTTTTACTGCTGTTCTGGAAAGCAAGTTAATTTTGGCTTGGAAATAAGTATGAAAGAAACAAATTATTTAATATCTTCACAACATTTACCGTTCAGAATTAATACATTGTGCTGATATTCATTTGTGTCATTCAGAATTATTTCCAAGTCAAGACTGAACTGAACATCATCGGACATATGTCCGACCCAAACTCAACGTCATCGGACATTTTGTCAGACGGCCCTGTAAAAGATATTTTAAGGCCTGTGGTTTAACCAGATGCAGCACATTTTTTCCCACAGTTGGTTGAATATTTTTAATGTACAGCACAATTACATAATAACTGCATGCATTTTCAACAGTATTTGCCCCAAACACGAATGAAAACCTTGTGAACGAGGCAAGTCAATGTCCTGCTAAGTTTTGCTTGCAACTTTGTTGCTCGACTAGACTTGTTACAAACTTTGCCACTCAATCAAACAGCAAGTCTTGTTACCAATATGTTAAACACCTAATGTATAGATGTTGCTAAGTAGAATCACTTTAAAAACAAATTTTGTTGTCTATTCAGAATGACTTACTATGCATTGTATTTTGTATGATCTCTATTTCACACAATAAGCCTTTTGCCTTATTGCATGAAAATGGCTTGCTGCATGACAGTAACTATTTGAGGAAATTACATTGCATGCTATAAACTTACTGGCCACATTTAAAACAGTTGGGTGCATCAATCAGCTAGCTGTGCCTATAGACAACTAATTAAGTATGAATAAACAGGCCATGAAATGTCGGTTATTGTCATAATTTAGTGGGTTGCATATATAGGTAAATTTTGTTTACAAATTAATTTTAATTTGCCTCCATAAATATGTAAATGACATTTTAAAAATTGTCATAACCAAAAACCATATTTCAGCAAGAAATTGCTTCCAAAATTTGTTAACCTGACTAACTGGCTGGTAAAAATTTGCAAACAAAATTTCCCGCTTACATATAGTATAGTATGACATTAGATTTTGCCACAATCGCAGAGCTCTCAGCTGTGCGGCCTGTGCTGACTGATCCCACTCACTCCAATACAACAAAATGGGGTCTAGCTGTTATGCCTTAATCCAAGCAGCTCACAAATCTTCAAATGCGTCTTTGTCCACACTTTCGCCACAACTTTGGCTGGTTTTCTTCAAAAATCCGTCTATTATTTTGTCCTGTATGAATTATTTTCACTGATGTTTTTCCGCCATTTTGAATGAATGTGGCGCGGTACTTTATGTAAGCGACAGGTTTTGGATACTTTTACTGGAATAACCGCTGGACTTTGCATATCGCATATTGGCGCTTTTGCATGCATTTTTGACAGGCGTGAATACTGGGGCAAACTGTGATGCCATACTTCGCACGAGTATTCTAAAATTGGTCTAATGCATGTATTAAACACTCGCACTAACTTGCTTGATCGAATGGAAGATCTCTTTAATAATCGTAGAGCATGCAGACGCTTCGCAGCTTTCTTACAAATGAAATCAACATGAAGAACCCACTTGAGGTCTTCGGAGATGATTAATCCGAGTAATTTAGCATGTGACACGACAGAAATGTTACAGCCATCAATGGTAAGTGGAGGAAGTGCTTCGGTATCATAAGTCGAAAAACATACTCGAATTTCCTTGGTTTTAGTGGGATTCAATTTCATATTGTTTATGGCCACCCAACTGGAGCATTCACTAATTTGTACCGGTAAGGCTGAAGCAGACGATTGGGCGCTCGTAATTATTTCCCATAAAGTAGTGTCGTCTACGAATTTAACAGAATCGTCAGAGACCTTCAGGTCGTTCACCATAATTAAAAAGAGCAAGCGGCCAAGTTTGGTTCCCTGTGGGACACCACCATTGATTGGCCTCCAACAGGAATAATTCGGGCCGATTCTTGTACGCTGTCTTCTGTCTGTGAGAAAGTTGGCGATCCAATTAATAAGGACAGGATGTATGCCCATATTTATCAATTTTTGAAGTAAGATGTTGAAGTCAATCCGGCCAAATGCTTTTGAGAAGTGCAACGTACAGATTCGAAGACAGGTGCCGGGTGTGTCCATGGCTTCGTACCATTTATGGAACACACATAATAATGCCATTGTGGAACTTGATCTTTTAAGCGTACCAAATTGGAGGTTATCAATTTGACCGCTAACTGACCGTAAAAGCCAGCTATGAGGGAATGACTCTAAGATCTTGCTTACAATTGGCGTAAGAGAGATCGGTCTAAAATCGGAATCAATATCCAGGGCAGGTGACGATTTTGGCACAGGAGACACATTGGCGGATTTCCACAACAACGGGATGTTTCCTTCTTGGATAGAAGCATTGAAAATGGATGCCAATGGGCGGGATAGGGAGGCAGAGTTCTCACGGAGGAGCTAAGGAGAAATCTCATCTGGACCTGCCGCCGAATGAGATTTTACAGATAGTAGTGCTTTCTCAACTTCATCAATGGAGATATAGAAATCTAAAGGAACGTCGTCAACTGCAATGGGTGTCCATGAGAATGGGGGAAGGGTGCTTCCTACAGCAACAAACTTGTCGTTAAACAAGTTAGCTGGGGCGGAGCCGTAGGATTGATCATTGTATAAGATAGTGGAAACGTTTTTCGTTGCACCAATGCCAGCTATGTTTTTTATGTTGGACCACCACTTATGCGGATTTGATTCAAAACAGTCGGCGACATTGCTGTTGTAAAATCTTGAACGAGCTCTCTTACAAAGCATATTTACTTTGTTTCTGTAGAGATGGAACATGATATTGTTTCCGTTATTCCAAGCTGCTTGACGTTTGGAGATTAATCTTTTGATCTCAGATGTTACCCAGGGCTAATCGCTACTATCCGATTTTATACGTTTCATTGGAAGGTACTGGTCGACAATGCCATTAACAATGAATGAAAAGTAATGAAAGTTATCGTTGCAAGAGTCCATTCTATACAGGGGAGACCAGTTTATACTTGACAAAGCCTCGAAGACTAACTTCCGATTAGGGGAACGCGTGTCTCTGACCATTCGGGTACTCCGTTTATCAACACTGAGTTATGGTCAGAGAAACCGACAGGTGGGAGAATCTCTGGAACGTTATAAAATTTGGACGCATTTGTAAATATTTTGTCTAAGATGTTGGATCCTCTTGTTGCATGCTTAACAACCTGTTACATAGTTGACTGTGCCTAAATTGGTTAAAAACGCCTGCAATGATGATAGCTGACGCAGGATAGGATGTTAATGCACTGTCGAGGGACTCAATAAGGTGTGTTAACAGGGCCCTATCGTCGCTTTTCGGTGGATGGTCAATTGCGACTAAAATGATAGAATTAATTCCACGTGGTAGTCGACTTGGTTTTATTAGGAGCCATAACGATTCAACTTCGGGATGTGAAAGTTCCTTAAGATGAACCACAGGCATACGATCGTTTACATAAACACAAACACCTCCACCTCTTCTACCATCTCGTCGGTCACGCCTGAATATGGAGAAGCCATTTAGATTTATCGCTGAATTGCTGACATTAGGAGAAAGCCAAGTTTCCGTAATGACCACAATATCCAAAGAAAGTGAAGAAACAGTTCCAGACAGCTCATCGATTTTATTGACTAATGACCTCGAGTTGGATAGGAACAAAGAGGGTAAGAAGGTATTTGAGGCATTGCTGCTTAATTTAATTTTCCGGAGGTTACGACGATTACTGAGTATGCCAAGAATTATAATTGCGGATAGATCGGTGATCACGTGCAGTAATCCGAACGGGGATCATGGTGAAAGGTACCTTGTGGGAATCTGTAAGGTTTTTAGGAGGACATAAGGGGATATTTGAGGCCCTCGAAATGCAAGGAGTGTTATAATTTTCCGATAAATTATTCAAGTATTCTCTGGTTTTGTTAATTTCTGTAAACTCATGTTCGAAGGGTTCTATTGGGTAATTGGACTCGGTCAGTTCTGCTTCACATGATGTAAAACTCTTGGGTGGTTCTATACTAGCGTTGATTTGTGAGTCATTTGACTCACAAATTGTAGATAAACTGCCCATTCCATAGATTGTTTTTCCAAGACAATACGCCGGGGTCGATAATTGGCAGGGCTTTTTCGAAAAGGAGCAATTTTACGTTGAGGTTGAGTAAAATCCCTTAAACTTGAGGTTTTAGATTGACATATACCGTGTTTGTGACCATTCGGAATTATTCCTTGAGAGTTGTGGCTATGCGGTGCTGAGAACCTCGCCCTTCCTAACCACTTTTTCCTTTGATCTCCGTATAAGTTATGTACTTAGCGCAAATGATCACTTATATATAGAAGACAAAGCTTGTTACAGAGAGGACAGTCTCTTTTGTGCTTATAGGGCATGTTGACACTTTGAAAGTTCAATCATAAATGACCGAGAACAAATGGTTTAAAAACATTTATATACATATATATTTTTACGGCGACATGTGGGTGTGATGTAGGGTCGATGTAGGGTCGATGTAGGGTCGATGTAGGGTCGATGTGAGGTCGATGTAGGGTCAATGTAGGGTCGATGAACGGTCGATGTACGGTCGATGTAGGGTCGATGTGGGGTCGATGTAAGGTCGATGTGGGGTCGATGTGGGGTAGATGTAGGGCCGGGAGTATAGGAGCTAGGAGCCATCCAACAAATATTTGAAAACAATCGTATCGTGTACGAGGAGCAGAGAAGTATTCGGATTCATTGGTGCTACAACCAATGGCAAGATCGTTACGATGAGTTAAAAAAGTCCCTTGGGAAAAGCATCCGATTTCAAAGAGGTTTACCCGAGTTGTCCGAGGATCTGAGTGAGATTAATACCCGGTACAACAACGTAATCATATTGGATGATTTGATGGCCGAAGCGACAGACAGTCCTGTGGTAGCTCGATTATTTACCCAGGGACGTCATAGAAACGCTAGTGTTATCATTTTGCTTCAGAACATGTTTCTTAAGGGGAAATTCAATACAGATATTAACCGAAATGCCCAATATCTTGCTCTCTTCCGAAGTCCTAGTGATAGGAAACAAATTGGAATTGTTGGAGGACGAATGTTTGATAAGAATAGAGTCCACTTTATGAACGCCCATTACAAAGAGAGTAAAAAACCGTTTGGATACTTGTTGGTGGATAACAAGCCTGGTACACCAGCAGATAAGCAAGTTCTTGGGGACCTGTTTGGCGACTGCCGTGTTTATCTCTTCGCCACCCAAACTAAAGTGAACAGTACTAGTAACAAACGCATTGTACTTCTCTCATCGGACGAACAAACATTTAAGGAATCTACACCTATTTACCAGAACGTTCTTGGACATAGTAACTTTGATCACGAATTTACGTACACTCAGGATGCACCGCAACGGACACGTAGGAATAGGCAATGCAACATAATTTGGTTCAACCCACCATTTAGTAAGAGTGTTAACACGAACATAGGACGGGAATTCTTCAGTTTAATTGACAAACACTTTCCACTACAGCACAAACTACGGCACAAGATTTTCAACAGAAACACTTTAAAAGTAAGCTACAGTTGCATGAACAACGTTAAGTCTATAATCACCAAACACAAAATGCACATGTAATTAGGAACAGTCAATCACAGAATACGGAAACTGACAACTGTAACTGCGACAACAAAAACACTTGCCCTCTATCGAAACAATGTATGACCAACAACATTATTTGCAAAGCTACAGTCACAACGAACAACACGAACGACACTAAACACCACATTGGTATGACAGCGACTACATTTAAGGAACGTTACGCTAACCACACTACATCTTTTCGTCATAAAAAAGACTCAAACAAAACGGAACTTTCGAAACATATTTGGAATTTAAAAGAAAACAATCAGCATTATACCATCAAATGGTCAATTTTAAAACATACACGTACACAGGGGGATCGTACACAGGGGGATCAAAACGCTGCAATTTATGTTTGGAAGAAAAATTTTGCATTTTGAAAGACATAAACAAAGACAATTTACTCAATAAAAGAAGCGAAATTTTCGGCTTCGGTTTCGAATAAACAAGGTCATTAACAAAACCTAATGACCCAAGCATGCATTGTTTCGCCTAAGCATTGTTTCGCCTGTACGCATTCCGCACATTCTTTTGATAGCATAAAAGCAACCTACAATTTCGAAATTACTCACCACCTGATGATTCCTATACGGATGAACAGACTGTTGTGGTTTTTTGAGGTAAAACGAAAAACTATATATATTTACTTTCTGGAACCGCCAAAGGGCAATAAAAAAACTTTCTGTGATAAATCAATAAATCAATACTTGGACACTGTAACTGTATAATACTAACAAGTTGTCAAACCGAATGTCATGCTATATTTTCACAGAAAAAAAATTTTCAGTGACAGTGCACTGAGAATCTTAATAATACTTTTAGGAATATGACAGAACTAATTCAGATAACATCAGGGGTCTGATCCCGAGGTAAATGTACAGATGCAAAAAGGGGGGGGATCTTTGGGCATGCTCCGCCAGAAAATTTTTAAAACACGGTGTCTCAGATTGGCTCAAAAGGCACTTGCCATACAACATTTGTACATCATTCTATAATCTATACATTTATACACTATCCGACTATCTACTATTATTAAGATGGACTTGCATTTCTGAGGTCATACCTGCAGTACAGGTAGCATTCTTTCTATTGGTTAGAGTTTTCCCTCTGAATTTATCCTTTTATCTAAATTTTTACAATTATATTTTTCTTTCTTGGGAAAATATTTTCTGGAAACTCAAAAAGTTTTTTGGGATCCCGTGGTCCGATACTTTTTCCACCCCTGCTGGCTGGACTCTGCCCATGTTTCATGTTGACATATTTAGATGCAATTTTCCCTAACACTACCTACTTAAGTATTTTGATATTTAACTTTGATGTACGTCTCACGCGAGACAATTTTACTTATCGACTGAGGACTGCTTATCACCTATTTATAGTAAGGAGTAATTATACAAGATATGTTGGATAGTTATATCCATTCTATAGGGGGTTAAAAGTCAAGCCAATATTGTTTTGCCTTTTGTTGATATACAATATATTTTCCAACAACACAGCACTATATGTGCATCAAAGTAGGATTTACATCAATGTTGGAATTGATTATATTAGCCAAGTGAACATTATTTTGTGTGACCTCCTTTTGATTTTAAAATAGGTTAATTTAACTCTTCCTGGCTTAGATTCAACAAGTGTTCTAAGTACTGCTGGCTTAAGGTTATTCCAGCATTGATTAATAACATCCCACAAGTTGCCTTTACTGTGGGGATCATGTTTCAGTTTCTCTCATTTCAACTGACCCATAAATTCTCAATAGGATTTAGGTCCTGAGATTGAGGAGGAAAATAATCAGTGGACGGTTCCGGCAATTCTAAAATTGAGAAAATTCTTAAAGTTGAAAGTTAAATTTGCAGCAAATCTATCTTTCGACTCACATATTTCTTATCGATAACACAAAATTCCATATCATTTTCGATGTCATAAATTATTTTTGAAAAATGTCTAAAAGCCTTAACTTATTTCTCATAAAAGGGTACCCTTTTTTGAGAGTTGTGTGATAAGTGAATTGATTCGTTTTAATTACCCTTTTACGTCGATCTAAGTTTCAAATTTGAAGCGAAAAAAGCGGATTATCTAACGAATGTATACAAATCAAATCTTCACAAAAATAACTGAAAAGGGCGCGATTATCCCTCAATTGCATCGTTTTGTAAAATGACGAAAAAGGGTACCCTTTTCGGTCAACCATGTTGTTTTTAGTAAGACGAAACAGAGTACCCTTTTCGGTCATCTATGTTCTTTACATACTAATATGAAAAAGGGTACCCTTTTCTGTAAAATATGATCTTTTATTATAAGACGAAAAAGGGTACCTTTTTTATTTAATTTGTTGACACTCAATCGGATTTAAAATGGTCTGGAATTTTATCAACTGCGTTAACGCGTTTACCACGTTAAAGCATAGCCTGAGCATAGCGTTTAATGTAAGTGTATACCAATTCAAAAAGCAGTATAATTTATTCGCTTATTGTTAAATCAAAGTGGCGGAGTACTTGGAGCAAAATATCGAAGATGTGAAAAACCATGTTCAAAAATCAAAAGAATTATACTTTTCGGCAGATTAGCTACATTTTCAAGCAGCATTTTCCTGGGGTTAGTAGACGTTTCTCGGAGAGAAACATTAGGTTATTCATGCAGTTCAAAGCGTGGAATAAGGAAACTGGACAATTTTGAAGTGGAAACCATGCATTATTCAACAGTCTATCAATGAGGTATTGTGTCCTGTAATTGATTATTTTAAATAGATATGTATACGTATAGCGTTGCAATATAATACCCAATGCTATATACGTATGCACATCTATTTAAAATAATCAGTTACAGCACACAATACCTCAATGATAGACTGATGAATAATGGTGTCCACTTCAAAATTGGCCAGGCGTTTCCTTATATTCCACGCTTTGAACAGAATAACCGAATGTTTCTCTCCGAGAAACCTCGACTAACCCCAGGAAAATGCTGCTTGATCATGAAAATGTCGCTAATCGGCCGATAAGTATAATTCTTTTGAACATAGTTTTTCACATCTTCGGTATTTTGCTCCAAGTACTCCGTCATTTTGATTTAACAATAAGCGAATAAATTATGCTGCTTTTTGAATTGGTATACACTTAAATTAAGCGCTATGCTTTAACGTGTGTTAACGTGTTAACGCAGTTGATAAAATTCCAGACTATTTTTAATCCGATCGAGTATCAACAGATTAAATAAAAAAGGGTACCCTTTTTCGTCTTATTATAAAATATCATATTTTACAGAAAAGAGTACCTTTTTCATATTACTATGTAAAGAAAATAGTTGACCAAAAAGAATATTCTGTTTCGTCTTACTACAAAACAACATGGTTGACCGAAAAAGGTACCCTTTTTCGTCATTTTACAAAACGATGCAGTTGAGCGATAATCGTACCCTTTTCAGTTATTTTTATGGAGATTTGATTTGTATAAATTCATCAGATAATCCGCTTTTTCGCTTTTAGGTTGAAACTTGGATCGACATAAAAGGGTAATTAAAACGAACCAATTCCCTTATCATACAAATCTCAAAAAAGGGTACCCTTTTATGAAAAGTAAGGTGGGGCTTTTAGACATTTTTCAAAAATAATTTATGACATCGAAAAGGGTATGGAAATTTGTGTTATCGAAAAGAAACATGCGAGTCGAAAGATAGATTTGCTGCAAATTTAACTTTCAACTTTCAGAATTTTCTCAATTTTAGAATTGCCGGAACCGTCCACTGATTGAAAATCCATAACAACCAGATCACCTTTCTCTTGCTTCCTTCTTAAATAATTTTTACACATGTGATAAAAGTGTGTTTCCGATCATTATCCAGTTGCAGGACAAATGCCCTCTCACACAACCTAAACTTAAGATAGTATGGTTTGCTTTGAAAGGATGGAGTGACATTTTTGTTTCGTAAAAATTATTTAAATTAGGGAGCAATTTTCCCTATACTCTCTACTTTACTCTGACGTATATGTCTTGCGCGAGACAATTTTACTTATCGACTGTGGACTGTTTGCCCAAGTATCACCTATTAATACTTAAGGAGTAATTATTTAAGATATGTTGGATAGTCATATCCAATTTATAGGTTATATCCAATCCAGTAGGATAGATAAATATCCAGCCAAATTGATTCATGGTATTATTTAAATATATAAGGTTCAGGCCTCACTCGTTAAGTAAAACCGAACCTCCTGGCACAAACCTTAACCCGATCGCTTTCCACCCACAGCAAAATTTATATTTAGTGTCCAATCAAAATGTCCCAGCCGAAATTTAAATTTCACACAACTACAGCAACAATCTAATTATAGTTGTGATCATTATAACATATATCGACAACAATAGTATAATCTAATTAGCACCTCCCAATCAAATGACAGATTAAAAAATCTTTTGTCTCATAGACCATGCAATCAGATTTACAACCGAAATACGGTTGTACGGCATGGACTTTTGTTAATTAAGGTTTGTATCAGGCATATTTATTTATTTATTTATAGGCCTGATCGCAGGTTAGATCTCTGAGTGGCGCCACCTACTGTAGATGCACTGTAATGACTGTGAAACTGTGTTTTAATTAACTTACATGAAAATTTGTCCATGTTTTTCCAGAACATGCAATGGATGTTAAAATACAACAATTTGAGCTATCCTGTTTACAGAAAAGACATTGTAAAAGCAATAAAATTCAAGCTGCACAACAAAGAGCAGGGAAGGAAGAGCAATGAATTGAACAAAAAACTGAGATTAGTTGACATACATTGTAAATTTATATGGTTACTAATTTAATTAAACAGCTGATTATATTTAGTATTATTTGTTAATTTATTTAATATATAGTTTATTATTATGCCAACAGCTTACTATATTTATTATGTTAATAAAATAATGTTATCAGATGAACAAATTTCATGTGTGAGGTGGTGATGTGCTGCATGCATGGTATACTAAAAGTATTTGTTTCAGAAACTATAGTTTTTCAATTAAAATGGTATAGTTTTTTCCAACTATAGTTTTTAGTCAAAACTAAAGTTTTTGACAAAACTATAGTTTTTAGCCAAAACTATAGTTCCTACAATTACTATAGTTTTTAATTACTATGGTTTCCATAACTATAGTTTTTGTTCCAAAATACTATAGTTTTTAAAGCTATAGTTTTTGGCTTGAAAAATTATAGTTTATTTTTGTAAGGGCGAGATCTCCATGATTCGCTCGGATATTTTTTATTGTTACAGAGAAATCGATAGCCGTTCGTTTGATAGGACCATCAAGTTTCAATGGTACTGGTCGTGTGGAAGTCTTCTACAATGGACAATGGGGAACAATCTGCGATGATTATTGGGATATAAATGATGCTATGGTTGTGTGTCGTCAAATATTTGGTTTACCATACGCTGTCAGAGCTCTTTATGGATACCATGTTCCTGATGGAACTGGACAGATATGGTTAGACAACGTCAGATGTACTGGAAATGAGAAAAGTCTAATCAATTGTTCTCATAGTGGATGGGGAAATCATAATTGTCGGCATTATCAGGACGCAGGAGTAGAATGTTCTTCAGGTAAAATAATAATATTAATGCCACTAATATAATTCATTCTACTTTGAATTGTGGTGCGAATGAGTTACGTATCTTATGGTGCATACAGACTTCATTCATTCATTCAGTCAGTCATAGGGTAAACTTCCGGGGGTGTATACGATTTATGTTCGTAGTGATTTATTGTACTTGGTCAGTGCTTTGAAGGTTATTTAGGCAATTTCAGTTGTCTTCCTTAAATATCCTTTATAGGCCTTTTGCCAGGTTCACAAAAATTTCGAGGAATCGTTGTCGTTATTTCAAATTTTATAACATTCGCTTCCCGTCGTCTTCTCGTGTTGTGTAAAGGATCTTTCCCCCGGAACATAATAATGGCCTGCATAGCAGGCGGTCTAAAATACCACCTGCTGGGTTTGGCAGTGTAATTTGATAACCGCTAGCCTGAACACAGACCTTCGTTTTGAGCAAAACGAAGATCTGTGTTCAGGCTAGATAACCGCCCACTTTTTGCCCTTGTCCAATTAACCAATCAGCAAACACTAGATATATTAATAATCAAACTGTCAAACTATGTTATTGTTAGGTCGAAAAATTTCAAATATAAAATATGTCGAACGAAACGCCATTGAAATTCTCAATCAGGACCTCTGAATAACGACAAGAGGTAGAAAAGCAAGCGCGGAAAATGTAAATGACCACTGTCGTTTGTATATTAAGTGTGCTTAATTGAAACTAAAGCACGGGCAATAGGGAAAATATCTTATATACCGTCGGAGAATTTAGGCAAGGAAAAGAAACGATTACTACAGTGGCAAAACCTTGGCCGACAATAAGCCGAATTGTGTTCAGTTCATTTAGGAATCGAAGTTACTTCTACCTCTGAACTATCCGACCGAGTTTGTAAGCCGGCCGTGTGGGCGAAAGATCCGAAACGTAAGCGAACTGATTGCCATAATCAAATGAGACATATTAGGCTAAACGCCTTGGCTGTGTACGTGTGGAACAAATAGATCGTTGTATAAAAAGGTCAGTTGCAAATATAAATTGTTTCGTCTCCACAACGAAGCCGTAAAGTTCAGAAGAAAGCCTGAAAAAGTTCAGAAAGTGAAGCGGCTAATAGGCCTAGACGTAGTATAGTCCTGTTAAACCCATTGCAATATAAGCAGTATGAGCTCCCCTTTGAATTTACTTATTGAGTAAATTCTTCAAACACGTCCGAATTTATCATTATGATAAAACAAACTGCCGCCAACAAGAACAATGTAAAAATGAACCTTTTCCCATAACCTGTAGGTAAAATGGCCAAAACATTCTTTCCAAGGAGTAAATCTTTTAACTGCTATCTCTTGCTCGCGTTTGAGATTTGACAATCAGTTCGACTTTCGACAGTTCAGTTTTACAACAGCTATTATTAAAAGCGAATCAATACTATGCCCGTGACATATTACAGCGTATTCACTTTTGAGTCACAGCAGCTCAGATTCGCAGCCAATCATCAATTTCTGTCCACTGGTGGACGGGGAATTCGAATACACTGCCAAATCTAGCAGGCGGTCTTTCCCAAACTTGCCCGATTTTAGGCACCGCCTGCCATGCAAGCTACCCGGAACTCCGATTTTTTCTTTAGCAGCACAAATGCGCGTGCGCTATCAAGCCGTAGATCAACGATGGCGTGACGATGCAACGAAACAGTACGTGTTGTTTTCAAATATAAATACTTTAAACTTGAATGGTGAATATGCAATTAATATATAAATTGATGTTATGCATTATGGGCATTCAATCAGGTGCCGATATTATTTTATAAATGGTATATTCATTATACAGAGCTGGGAAGGAGCTAGACAGTGCTTTTTTTTCAAATGTATAAACATTTCAGACGTAAATATTGAGAAAATCTTTGAGATTTTAGGCATTCAATTATAAAGTGTCGATATTATTTTGACGGTATATTGATTATACAGAGCTAGGAAGGAGCGATACAGTTTGTTTTCAAATATATAAACATTTCAGACATGAATATTGAGAAATCTTTGAGATTCTACGCAATATATAAATTGATGTTTTGTATTTTAGGTCCGGTTTAGACGACGCCGTGCTTTTCATGAGCCGATCGCGAACTTAATTAATAGGTTGAATTAAGCACATGAGAAGCACGGCGTCTAAATCAATTAAGCACTGCACTTAATATGAAGCACGGCTAAATTAATAAGTTCGCCTGGTTCAGGCGTGCTACACGGCTGAAGCACATGTTGATTTATACTGCCGTGCTTTACATGAGCCGTACCAAATGCATAAATTATGATAAAATAGAACATTTATAGTACGCGAGCGTTGATTGGTCGAGAAGTGTGTTTCTACACCGGAAATTCCCCGCCTATTAAAAGAAATTTTAAAAAGAATTTTACCTACTCAGCTCATTTTGTAACTGTTACAGTCAAAATACAAAAACCTTCCCACTTCCGCTTCTGTAGCTTGTTTTGTATTTCTGTAATTTGTTCTATTTTTTCTGCAGTGATTTAATACCGCTTTATCGGCATTAGATTCTTTGCATAAAAGTTGCGAAATTAGGCTTATAGCGATATTTGCTGATAAAGGCAAAAAGGGTTTCTTGCAGTGAAATTGATGGAGCAAAGGTCGGCATTATTACGTAATGAGAATTTGTAAATATATCGAGTCTACTACAAATCTTTTTTAGTTATGTTATGAAATAAATATAAAACATGTATTATGTGTGACCCATACAGTTATAGAAAGATGCACTTGTAGTAGTTTGGGAGAACTCGAATAACCTGGAAAAACTCGCCCTAAGCCTATAGGTCTCGTTTTCCCACACATTATACCCAGGCATTATGCTATATTTGTAGTGATAAGGCTTTTCAAAAAGCAGTTAAAATTTTTAATAACCGCAAACCTGTAGACGCTCAGAAATGCCAAGATTGTATGTGATAAACCCTTTTTTCTTAGTGAAAGGTCACTCGCCCCAGGTTTCGAAGTGAAGCAGCGCAAATTATTAAGTACGGCTCATGAAAAGCACGCCTGTCTAAATCAAAATTGGAAGCATGCCTATTTTACTCGAGTAAAATATGAATTAAGTTCGGCTCATGAAAAGCACGGCGTCTAAACCGGGCCTTACCGGCATTCAATTAATTTAAGTGCCGATATATATGGTTTAGACCGTATACAGCTATTTCAATTAAGGTTGTCCACGAGCAAAGCGGAAAAGTCGAATACGAGCGCGAAAGGCTGCTGGGAATCGCTAACAAATGAATTTTCAAAGCGGTTCCCAACAGCCTTTCGCGCCCGTATTCGACTTTTCCGCTTTGTTCATGGACAACTTACATTATACTTTTTACATTCGTTCTTTGGTTAGCGACAAGATCTAAACCTGTTCTTGTCGAACTGAACACTGCAAGAATTCCGGGCAAAGTAACGATTTCTGCAGAACTATTGTCAATACCGGAGAAATTAAGTCATATTTGGAGCTCGACCCGCGAAAATTCTCTGCGAACGCCTTCATTTCCATTTAAAATCATTTACCGTTATGGCCTGCATTTCGACATCAAGAGCAATAAAGCGCATGTTTTCTTATGTATTCTACTCGCCGGTGATGTAGCTACCAATCTAAGAGATACATCGCTAAAGTTCTTTAGTTTTTCTGTAATATTGAAAACAGGTAGTTCATTTTCATCACCGCATTTCGGACAGCTGGCCTGCTATTCGGATACTTATAATAATGCCGGGCCGTTTTTCTCTCGAAGGCAAGCTGTATTTTGATATATACTGGAATTTAAGGCTTGATTATGATATAGAAATAAATGTCATAATTCTTTAAACCATATTCTAGTATTAAATTTTAGTCAGGTTACTCGCAAGTAAAGCTCACTTTAAGATATACAATTCTCCGGTGGACAAATTCACATAATAATATCCAAACTCGCATTGAACTAAAGTCGACAAAATGATCGAAATCGAAATTTTATCAAAACATAAAAACTTGTACACTC